ACATATTTCTGAAAGCGATTTGTATAAAAAAAAATGCGTTCACAGTTTCCACAAAAAGTGCATGAAAAATCACAAGTAAGAAGAGCTGTCCCACCTGCAAAGCGGTTTGTCCTGGGGAACCTTTAATTAGAACTGATAGTAGTGTCTCACGAAATACAAGACACCAAAACAGGCTCGTGAATTTGCAATACGAAGACAACAGTCAGGTTAATATGGGTGCGGAAGATTCAAGTCAAGCTCGATTGAGTGGGCGTGAAGACGTTCACAGTATCGTGACTGAGGCTGTTAGAGGTATGCAAAATGAGCTGCTGACACAATTGTCCGAAAAGATGACCATATTAATCGAAGCTAATTTGGCAAGCAGACCTTCACAAGGACCATTTCGTAGAGCTGCCAATGCCAGCCCCTCTATGGATCAGCTTCTTGGCTTAGAGACAGGACAGCCAACTTCAATGCGAGATACTGGGCATGTGAACTTGTCACCGGGATCAAATTTATCAGAACTTTCACAGAGACCAGACAAAGTTTCGCATATTATGAATGGTTGGAAACTCCGTTTTAGTGGATCTGCTGGGGGAATCAGCATAGATAATTTTATCTACAGGGTGCAGGCGTTAACTCACCAAACCTAAGGTGGAAACTTTGGTATCTTGTGTGGCAACGCAAGTGCTTTGTTTGAGGGCAAAGCAGACGACTTCTATTGGCGATATCACAAGTCGGTGCAAGTTGTTCGATGGGACGAGTTATGTTTTGCACTTCGTCGCCAGTTTAGGGATACAAGAACCGATGTGGACATTCGCGAGCTTATAAGAGATCGCAAACAAAAAGAAAACGAAAACTTTGACTCGTTTTATGATGCAGTTGTCCAGCTGACTGATAGTTTGGATTGTCCGTTGGGTGAAAAGGCATTAGTTGAAATTTTACGTCGAAATTTACGCCCGGAAATAAGACACGAAATCTTAAATATTCAGACGGATTCGATTTCCCGACTTCGCGAGATTTGTAGGCGTCGAGAGTGCTTCTTGGAGGAAGTGAAGCGAGACCAAATTTACAAAAAAGGCTCTCCGTTTAAAAGCCATGTCTACGAGCTTCTCGACGGGGATAATAAGTACAGCGAATCTGAATTTTTCGTCGATGAGAAAGGTACTGTTGAAATCTGCTGGAATTGCAGAAAGGAAGGACATAGGAACCAAGACTGCACGGCTCCCCAAAAGGTATTTTGTTATGGGTGCGGGGCACGCAACACTTATAAACCTTCATGCCAAAGATGTTTAAAAAACATCCAGCAGAACACCCAAGTTCCTCGTTCTCGGGGTGTTCAAAAGACGCAGTCCACGTCCACCGAAAACGAGATACAATAGATTCTGTTACGCACAGGCATCACAAGGCTCCCGTTCTTCCTGAGGTTACTCCTGAAGAGGGTTGGCGCCAGAGAGTTGGTCTGACAAATAATAGCAGTAAGAAGGTAAGTTATTCTAACTCTAGAACTAACGAAAAATCGCGAAATACAACTAGGCTGAAAAGGTTCTGGAAAGTTACAAGAGACCTAAATGCGCTTCGCAACAGTTGTAAGGATCGTCGACCATATACAACGGTGGTAATTCTGAACAGGAGAATTAAAGGTCTTATGGATACAGGCGCATCAATGAGCTGCGTAGGAGGGCAGTTTGCACAGGAAATCCTTGCAAGTGATGTTCCAATTAAACGTGTTTTTAGCAATATTTCTACTGCCGAGCAGCAAGCAAAGCATAGTAGGTAGCATTAGATCAAATATAGAGTATAATGGAGTAATTAAGTCAATTTAGTTGTTTATAGTTCCTTCTTTAAAACAAAACCTCTACTTAAGTATAGATTTCTGGAATCTGTTTGAATTATTACCTCCAGACATCCAAGTCTCAGAGCTCAGTGCTCACAATCTAACTGAAGAACAGACAAACGCATTAAAGAAAGTAATAGATCAATTCCCGTCGTTTTTAATCTCCGGCTTAGGCAAAACTAGTCTTCTATCGCATCATATTGATGTCGGTGACGCGAAGCCCATAAAACAGCGCCACTTCCCAGTTTCGCCAGCCGTAGAGAAGCTGTTATACAGTGAGGTCGACCGTATGTTACAGCTCGGCGTCATAGAGGAGTCAGACAGCGCCTGGTCTTCACCAGTTGTATTAGTGCAAAAGCCTGGAAAGGTCAGGTTGTGTCTCGACAGCCGGAAAGTAAACGCGGTGATCGCCAAGGACGCGTACCCACTTCCCACCTTAAGGATGCATTCTGGCAGATCCCGTTAGATCCTGCATCCAGGGATAAGACAGCATTTACAATACCTGGGCGTCCCCTTTACCAGTTTAATGTGATGCCATTTGGCCTCTGCAACGCAGGTCAAACCATGTCACGATTAATGGATAAAGTAATTCCTGCTTCATTGAGAAATGAGGTGTTTATATACTTCGATGACCTTTTGCTTGTTTCGGAAAACTTTGAAGACCACTTACGCGTGTTGAAAACAGTTTCCGAATGTATTCGGGCGGCTGGATTGACAATCAATGTCAAAAAGAGTCAGTTCTGTGTGCAACAAGTGCGATATTTAGGTCACATTATTGGTGAAGGTGTCATACGTACAGACCCAGAGAAAGTGGCAGCAATTGAAAAGTTTCCAATACCCAAGACTCTAAAGAGTTTGAGAAGCTTTTTGGGTATGGCGGGCTGGTACCGCAAGTTTATAGATAATTTTGCCACGGTATCTGCACCATTGACCGATTTTCTGAAAGCAAAAAGGAGATTTACCATGACTGAGGATGGGCAGCAGGCTTTCACACAACTGAAACGCATGCTATGCTCAGCACCAGTCCTTAGAAGCCCGGACTTTTCAAAGCCTTTCTACATACACTGTGATGCAAGCAAAAGTGGTGTAGGTGGTGTGCTAGTCCAAAAGACGCCAGAGGGCGATGAGTACCCCATCGCTTTTGTTTCCAAAAAGCTAAACAAGCTCAGAAAAACTACTCCGTAACTGAGCAAGAGTGTTTAGCAGCAATAGTGAGCGTCAAGCGGTTTAGGCCATATGTAGAGGGACATGATTTTACCATAGTGACAGATCATGCTTCTCTGAAATGGTTAATGTCTCAGACTGATCTTAATTCGCGTTTAGCAAGGTGGGCCCTCAAGTTACAGGCGTTCAGATTCACAATCGAACATCGTCGAGGCTTACTCAATGTTGTTCCTGACGCACTGTCAAGAATGAACGATGATGAAATAGCGAGCATAGATGCCTCCAATGGCTTGCTAGTCGACATCACGTCAGAAAATTTCCGAAGCCAAGAATATTTGAGCCTGGGGGAGAGCGTTACGGCCAACAGTGCGAAATTTCCTGACCTAAAGGTAGTGGATAATTTAGTTTATCGGCACTCAGAACATTCTACCGGCGAACCACTTCACGATGTGTACATATGGAAGCTATGGATTCCGTTGCAGTTGGTAAGCGACGTGCTGAAAAAGGCGCACGATCATCCACTTTCAGCTCATGGAGGAGTGCATAAGACGCTCGAGCGTATACGCCGCTATTATTACTGGCCAGGTTTAGTCGCTGATGTAAAGTCATATATCGGCAGTTGTGAGACCTGTAAGTCGACAAAGGCTCCAAATGGTCCTTTAAGGCCTCCAATGGGAATTGCTCCAGAATCCCAAAGATTCTTTCAGAGGATTTAAATTGACTTCTTAGGCCCATACCCTCGTTCGCGCAGTGGAAACGTAGCGATTTTTATAGTCTTGGATCATTTTTCAAAATTCGTATTTGTGAAAGCGGTAAAGAAACTTGAAGCGGCTATAGTAGTAAAGTATTTAAGGGAAGAGCTGTTTCATCTGTGCGGGGTTCCAGAGATAGTTGTTTCTGACAATGGGTCACAATTTAAGTCCGAGCTGTTTCGAAAATTGTTGAGAGAACATCGGATTATCCAGAAGCTTACCGCCATTCATTCGCCTCAGGCAAATGCGTCAGAGCGAGTGAACAGGTCGATCATTACCGCAATCCGTTCCTACATAGACGTCAACCAGAGAGATTGGGATGAAAATCTTAGCAGTATCTGCTGTGCGTTGAGGTCAGCCACCCATTCAGCTATTGGCACCTCACCATATTATATGGTGTTTGGTCAACATATGGTGACCTCCGGGGGAACCTATGCCTTATTAAGATCTCTGCAAGTGCTACAAGATAGAGGAGTCGCGTTCAGCAGAGAGGACTCTCGCGAGCTGGCTCATGATAAAGCAGTTAAACTTTCCAAACAGCAGGACGTCAAAAATCGAGAAAGATACAATCTGAGATCGCGCGTGGTTTCGTATTCCATTGGCCAAGAAGTTTTCCGGCGTAATTTTAGGCAAAGTTGCTTTCAAACAGGATATAACGCCAAATTAGGTCCGGCATTTGTGAAGGCACGTATACGACAGATATTAGGAAACTCGTATTACGATGTCGAGGATCTTCAAGGCAGGCTTGTGGTTTAGGCCATATGTAGAGGGACATGATTTCACCATAGTGACAGATCATGCTTCTCTGAAATGGTTAATGTCTCAGACTGATCTTAATTCGCGTTTAGCAAGGTGGGCCCTCAAATTACAGGCGTTCAGATTCACAATCGAACATCGTCGAGGCTTACTCAATGTTGTTCCTGACGCACTGTCGCGTTCAGCAGAGAGGACTCTCGCGAGCTGGCAGCAGGACGTCAAAAATCGAGAAAGATACAATCTGAGATCGCGCGTGGTTTCGTATTCCATTGGCCAAGAAGTTTTCCGGCGTAATTTTAGGCAAAGTTGCTTTCAAACAGGATATAACGCCAAATTAGGTCCGGCATTTGTGAAGGCACGTATACGACAGATATTAGGAAACTCGTATTACGATGTCGAGGATCTTCAAGGCAGGCTTGTGGGGCGTTATCACGCCAAGGATTTGCGCCAATGATTGTGGCGTGATCAGCCTTGATGGGTTAACCACCAAGTCTGATGTTAGCGGGGGGTGTTGTAACGGACGAGTGTTGAATACATGAAGCGCCATCTATGACTCGGTTGCGAAACTACAATAAACATAGAAAAGCATTTTTGTTTACCGATAATATGCAGGTCTGCATATTACGAATACCGATAATAAGTAGGTCTGCATTGACGTTAATGGGGATCGGATAAACGCTTACGGTGTTCGGCTTAACCCTAGAGGAAACGCTGTTCGCCTCGTGCATTCTTTTCAATTCGAGCTTACAGACAGTGAAGTTGTGCGATTTTATATTACCTTTGGCCAAACCACGCCAAAGAGGTTAGAGCCGGTCACGAAATTTTTAAAGGCAATTAAGTGCCAAGTGAATTCAAGACCGCTTTCTGAGCTAAATCACGGTCAGTGGAACAAAAGGAAAATATTCAGAAGAGGCGCTCTGCAGGGGTGAGTTCTGGTAAAATTAACCATATTCGAACGTAACCCTAACGAGGCTCGGAAATTATTTTAGGGCGGCCTAGAACCTGTCTCCCGGCCCATAACAGAATTGACGCTGAGAAGTCCGGCTAGGCAGCTGCGGGCAGAAATAATTCAAGCGATCGTCAGCCGCCTGCCCCAGCCAACTGCCCCAGCTACGTGCACCCAGCCAGTGCGGCCAAGAAGGGCAGCCGACAGTAGCTCGGCAGCCAAATAGGAGTTTTCAAGCAATGACTGTTGACCCTCATCAAGCGCCACCGTAATCAACAGGAAACTGTCGCTCTGGATTTGTTTTTGTGCCAATTGTTAATTTTATAGCAGTTTTTGCTAAAATATCGGTGCATATAGGCCAGTGAAATACATGAATTAGGCCATAGCCTGAACCATGGTGTGAAGATTAAATTAATTTAATTTCGCGAAATGTCGAGGAGTATTGTTTTTAGCTACTCTATAGAATTTACCGCTGTCAAGATTATTCCTCACCATGAAATCATTCAAGTAATTGCAAATGAACCCTAGTCCCTTAGTCCCAAGCCTAAATATGAAGTCAAAGGAGTGGATATAATTAGCTAAGAAAATACTTAAGTAATATTAGTTGTAGTAGGTTTTCCAATTAAAAATTAAGAGTTCTTACTTCTATTATTTAAACGGTAAAAGATAAAGTTAAAATCAGTACGAAGTTTTTAATAATGTCGATCAAGTGGAATAGAGGAGCAGTGTGTTGATGAGTTTGTAAACAAACAAAAAGCAAAAACATAAGTAGAGAAAATGCACGCATAGAGAAATCTTGCATATCTTCGGGCTCAGATAAGGAAAATATTGTGTTTGTTGTTTTTGGGCTTATATTTTACTTTCAGCACACTGCCATCAAATGGAAGCGCTTTCATCGATGGATAAATAAAAGTATGGTGAGCGTTCCCAAATATTTATCTGATATAGACACACTATAATCCCTGTTCACCCGTATGATATACCCGTTGGCAGCATGAAATAATAAAAATACAAAATAGCTTTATTTAAGTATTGAATATTGAATGAAAAGGAATTATCATGCAAGCACTTAAGAAAATCATTTGAACGAAACACATTTAAATAATTAAGACATATACTATTGAGCATAAATATTGATGAATGAAATTGAACAAAAAAACTGTCATCTAAGCTGTTATGAATTATCATTATAATATTTTATTTTTAGCTAATATATTACTAGTAATACTGTACATATTTAGTAATTAAAATTTTAAAGCTTGGTTTTAGATGCTAATATATAATATGAAACTAGAATTATCAGAAGAACACAGCTGAATTAGAGAAAAAGGAATATGAATGTAGGGAATTTAATATATTTCGTTTCGTATGTTAATAAACTAATTATTATGATTGAGTAAGCAATACTTTTAACTCCATGCTGATCGGGAGGTCGTCGTGAAAGCTCTTGGAATCAAGGGGTCAATTATAAATATTTACGGGATGATATTGACCATGGCAGGGTGGGCATGAAACACCTCAATAACATCTGCAGGTGCGAAAGCTATTCGCTGAAAGGATTCTTCTTTCTATACTTCTGTCTGTCTGTCGCCTATGCTTATTCCTCTTTCCGGTTAGTTAATTTTCTTGATTTAGCACGCAATTTTTAGTTATTAAAGATTACCCAAGAGCCCTAATGACTGTAGCACATATGAACACCACGACACTTGCTGACGAGACAGAGCCGGATATATTTGCGTGCAGGCTAACAGTCGGGAATACCACCAGCTCTACGTTATTCGTTACAGGAATAATTATAATAATATCTTAATAATTATGGCGCCCAACGTGTGAGGCCAAACTGTATAGCGTAACTATTCGAAGAACCGAAAGGGAATTCTTAATGATTCTTCCAAGGTGTGAGACCCACTTAAGGGTTAGGTCACGGAAAAATTCTAAACAAAATCACCAACATTTCCTAACGTATTAGTTCCACTGTACAATTTGACTCGCTAATAAGCATAAATATCCTTTTCTATTTTCTCAAAATTTTCAATTCTAACTTTTGATATTCTTTAGTCAGCCCTCTGTACATTCAGACGAATAGGAATGCAGCGCTTGTATATATTTTAGAATAGTAGGCGTCTGACCACGGATGAAGAGTGAGAGCAAGCTGACTCCTAAACCTATTAAAAGTTCATTCACTGAAAGTTAAGCGGGTAGGAATTTCAAAATTGATAAATTCTAAAATGAATGTCAATGAACCAAGTCTAACAGTTTAATGATTGCTACCTAGTTGAAGCACCAGTTTTCTGTATTGGAATGCAGATGGTTACTTCAAGAAGTAGCTCTGGCCACAGATTCGAAGTAAACTAGCGTAGGTCAGTCGTCCGCTTACGAATCCAGATTACTTTATGGGAAAACACAAAAAAAAAGTAAGTCTGGCCACGGATTTAAAAAAATAAATAAATAAATAAATAGATGAAAATAAAAAAAAGTGGATCAGTTGAAGTGCAATGGGTTTTGGAATGCAATCTGGAAGTAAAGTTTTCATACTTCGGATTGACCGCCTTTTGGCTTCCGGTTCACTCAGTAGGCTTGCCTGAACACAATTTTCCTTTCATTTCTTTTGTCTTTCAAAAAATCTTTTAAGCGATAAGTTTCAACAAGAGCTTGATAGATGAGCTCTCGATCAGTAATGGAGTGTATGATTTAGAAGTACATCTATCTTTTATAATACAAGCTATTTGCTTGTGATTTTATCTTTTTCGATTCTATAGTATTTATTTTTAGCATTTTGGTTTCTTTAAAATGGGGTTAGATCATTCAGATGGTGAAGAGGCTTCTGGGTCATCCCAGGTCTGTATATTATGCAAGACACATATTTCTGAAAGCGATTTGTATAAAAAAAATGCGTTCACAGTTTCCACAAAAAGTGCATTAAAAATCACTTGACAAGTAAGAAGAGCTGTCCCACCTGCAAAGCGGTTTGTCCTGGGGAACCTTTAATTAGAACTGATAGTAGTGTCTCACGAAATACAAGACACCAAAACAGGCTCGTGAATTTGCAATACGAAGACAACAGTCAGGTTAATATGGGTGCGGAAGATTCAAGTCAAGCTCGATTGAGTGGGCGTGAAGACGTTCACAGTATCGTGACTGAGGCTGTTAGAGGTATGCAAAATGAGCTGCTGACACAATTGTCTGAAAAGATGACCATATTAATCGAAGCTAATTTGGCAAGCAGACCTTCACAAGGACCATTTCGTAGAGCTGCCAATGCCAGCCCCTCTATGGATCAGCTTCTTGGCTTAGAGACAGGACAGCCAACTTCAATGCGAGATACTGGGCATGTGAACTTGTCACCGGGATCAAATTTATCAGAACTTTCACAGAGACCAGACAAAGTTTCGCATATTATGAATGGTTGGAAACTCCGTTTTAGTGGATCTGCTGGGGGAATCAGCATAGATAATTTTATCTACAGGGTGCAGGCGTTAACTCACCAAACCTAAGGTGGAAACTTTGGTATCTTGTGTGGCAACGCAAGTGCTTTGTTTGAGGGCAAAGCAGACGACTTCTATTGGCGATATCACAAGTCGGTGCAAGTTGTTCGATGGGACGAGTTATGTTTTGCACTTCGTCGCCAGTTCAGGGATACAAGAACCGATGTGGACATTCGCGAGCTTATAAGAGATCGCAAACAAAAAGAAAACGAAAACTTTGACTCGTTTTATGATGCAGTTGTCCAGCTGACTGATAGTTTGGATTGTCCGTTGGGTGAAAAGGCATTAGTAAAAATTTTACGTCGAAATTTACGCCCGGAAATAAGACACGAAATCTTAAATATTCAGACGGATTCGATTTCCCGACTTCGCGAGATTTGTAGGCGTCGAGAGTGCTTCTTGGAGAAAGTGAAGCGAGACCAAATTTACAAAAAAGGCTCTCCGTTTAAAAGCCATGTCTCCGAGCTTCTCGACGGGGATAATAAGTACAGCGAATCTGAATTTTTCGTCGATGAGGAAGGTACTGTTGAAGCCGTGTCGCTAATCTGCTGGAATTGCAGAAAGGAAGGACATAGGTACCAAGACTGCGCGGCTCCCCAAAAGGTATTTTGTTATGGGTGCGGGGCACGCAACACTTATAAACCTTCATGCCAAAGATGTTTAAAAAACATCCAGCAGAACACCCAAGTTCCTCGCTCTCGGGGTGTTCAAAAGACGCAGTCCACGTCCACCGAAAACGAGATACAATAGATTCTGTTACGCACAGGCATCACCAGGCTCCCGTTCTTCCTGAGGTTACTCCTGAAGAGGGTTGGCGCCAGAGAGTTGGTCTGACAAATAATAGCAGTAAGAAGGCAAGTTATTCTAACTCTAGAACTAACGAAAAATCGCGAAATACAACTAGGCTGAAAAGGTTCTGGAAAGTTACAAGAGACCTAAATGCGCTTCGCAACAGTTGTAAGGATCGTCGACCATATACAACGGTGGTAATTCTGAACAGGAGAATTAAAGGTCTTATGGATACAGGCGCATCAATGAGCTGCTTAGGAGGGCAGTTTGCACAGGAAATCCTTGCAAGTGATGTTCCAATTAAACGTGTTTTTAACAATATTTCTACTGCCGATGGCAGCAAGCAAAGCATAGTAGGTAGCATTAGATCAAATATAGAGTATAATGGAGTAATTAAGTCAATTTAGTTGTTTATAGTTCCTTCTTTAAAACAAAACCTCTACTTAGGTATAGATTTCTGGAATCTATTTGAATTATTACCTCCAGACATCCAAGTCTCAGAGCTCAGTGCTCACAATCTAACTGAAGAACAGACAAACGCATTAAAGAAAGTAATAGATCAATTCCCGTCGTTTTTAATCTCCGGCTTAGGCAAAACTAGTCTTCTATCGCATCATATTGATGTCGGTGACGCGAAGCCCATAAAACAGCGCCACTTCCCAGTTTCGCCAGCCGTAGAGAAGCTGTTATACAGTGAGGTCGACCGTATGTTACAGCTCGGCGTCATAGAGGAGTCAGACAGCGCCTGGTCTTCACCAGTTGTATTAGTGCAAAAGCCTGGAAAGGTCAGGTTGTGTCTCGACAGCCGGAAAGTAAACGCGGTGATCGCCAAGGACGCGTACCCACTTCCCCAAATTGACGGCATTCTGAGCCGTTTGCCAAAAGCTGTTTATATTAGTAGCCCCGACCTTAAGGATGCATTCTGGCAGATCCCGTTAGATCCTGCATCCAGGGATAAGACAGCATTTACAATACCTGGGCGTCCCCTTTACCAGTTTAATGTGATGCCATTTGGCCTCTGCAACGCAGGTCAAACCATGTCACGATTAATGGATAAAGTAATTCCTGCTTCATTGAGAAATGAGGTGTTTATATACTTCGATGACCTTTTGCTTGTTTCGGAAAACTTTGAAGACCACTTACGCGTGTTGAAAACAGTTTCCGAATGTATTCGGGCGGCTGGATTGACAATCAATGTCAAAAAGAGTCAGTTCTGTGTGCAACAAGTGCGATATTTAGGTCACATTATTGGTGAAGGTGTCATACGTACAGACCCAGAGAAAGTGGCAGCAATTGAAAAGTTTCCAATACCCAAGACTCTAAAGAGTTTGAGAAGCTTTTTGGGTATGGCGGGCTGGTACCGCAAGTTTATAGATAATTTTGCCACGGTATCTGCACCATTGACCGATTTTCTGAAAGCAAGAAGGAGATTTACCATGACTGAGGATGGGCAGCAGGCTTTCACACAACTGAAACGCATTCTATGCTCAGCACCAGTCCTTAGAAGCCCGGACTTTTCAAAGCCTTTCAACATACACTGTGATGCAAGCAAAAGTGGTGTAGGTGGTGAGCTAGTCCAAAAGACGCCAGAGGGCGATGAGTACCCCATCGCTTTTGTTTCCAAAAAGCTAAACAAGCTCAGAAAAACTACTCCGTAACTGAGCAAGAGTGTTTAGCAGCAATAGTGAGCGTCAAGCGGTTTAGGCCATATGTAGAGGGACATGATTTCACCATAGTGACAGATCATGCTTCTCTGAAATGGTTAATGTCTCAGACTGATCTTAATTCGCGTTTAGCAAGGTGGGCCCTCAAGTTACAGGCGTTCAGATTCACAATCGAACATCGTCGAGGCTTACTCAATGTTGTTCCTGACGCACTGTCAAGAATGAACGATGATGAAATAGCGAGCATAGATGCCTCCAATGGCTTGCTAGTCGACATCACGTCAGAAAATTTCCGAAGCCAAGAATATTTGAGCCTGGGGGAGAGCGTTACGGCCAACAGTGCGAAATTTCCTGACCTAAAGGTAGTGGATAATTTAGTTTATCGGCGCTCAGAACATTCTACCGGCGAACCACTTCACGATGTGTACATATGGAAGCTATGGGCTATGAGCTTTCAGCTCATGGAGGAGTGCATAAGACGCTCGAGCGTATACGCCGCTATTATTACTGGCCAGGTTTAGTCGCTGATGTAAAGTCATATATCGGCAGTTGTGCTACAAGATAGAGGAGTCGCGTTCAGCAGAGAGGACTCTCGCGAGCTGGCTCATGATAAGGCAGTTAAACTTTCCAAACAGCAGGACGTCAAAAATCGAGAAAGCTACAATCTGAGATCGCGCGTGGTTTCGTATTCCATTGGCCAAGAAGTTTTCCGGCGTAATTTTAGGCAAAGTTGCTTTCAAACAGGATATAACGCCAAATTAGGTCCGGCATTTGTGAAGGCACGTATACGACAGATATTAGGAAACTCGTATTACGATGTCGAGGATCTTCAAGGCAGGCTTGTGGGGCGTTATCACGCCAAGGATTTGCGCCAATGATTGTGGCGTGATCAGCCTTGATGGGTTAACCACCATTCTGATGTTAGCGGGGGGGTGTTGTAACGGACGAGTGTTGAATACATGAAGCGCCATCTATGACTCGGTTGCGAAACTACAATAAACATAGAAAAGCATTTTTGTTTACCGATAATATGCAGGTCTGCATATTACGAATACCGATAATACGTAGGTCTGCATTGACGTTAATGGGGATCGGATAAACGCTTACGGTGTTCGGCTTAACCCTAGAGGAAACGCTGTTCGCCTCGTGCATTCTTTTCAATTCGAGCTTACAGACAGTGAAGTTGTGCGATTTTATATTACCTTTGGCCAAACCACGCCAAAGAGGTTAGAGCCGGTCACGAGATTTTTAAAGGCAATTAAGTGCCAAGTGAATTCAAGACCGCTTTCTGAGCTAAATCACGGTCAGTGGAACAAAAGGAAAATATTCAGAAGAGGCGCTCTGCAGGGGTGAGTTCTGGTAAAATTAACCATATTCGAACGTAACCCTAACGAGGCTCGGAAATTATTTTAGGGCGGCCTAGAACCTGTCTCCCGGCCCATAACAGAATTGACGCTGAGAAGTCCGGCTAGGCAGCTGCGGGCAGAAATAATTCAAGCGATCGTCAGCCGCCTGCCCCAGCCAACTGCCCCAGCTACGTGCACCCAGCCAGTGCGGCCAAGAAGGGCAGCCGACAGTAGCTCGGCAGCCAAATAGGAGTTTTCAAGCAATGACTGTTGACCCTCATCAAGCGCCACCGTAATCAACAGGAAACTGTCGCTCTGGATTTGTTTTTGTGCCAATTGTTAATTTTATAGCAGTTTTTGCTAAAATATCGGTGCATATAGGCCAGTGAAATACATGAATTAGGCCATAGCCTGAACCATGGTGTGAAGATTAAATTAATTTAATTTCGCGAAATGTCGAGGAGTATTGTTTTTAGCTACTCTATAGAATTTACCGCTGTCAAGATTATTCCTCACCATGAAATCATTCAAGTAATTGCAAATGAACCCTAGTCCCTTAGTCCCAAGCCTAAATATGAAGTCAAAGGAGTGGATATAATTAGCTAAGAAAATACTTAAGTAATATTAGTTGTAGTAGGTTTTCCAATTAAAAATTAAGAGTTCTTACTTCTATTATTTAAACGGTAAAAGATAAAGTTAAAATCAGTACGAAGTTTTTAATAATGTCGATCAAGTGGAATAGAGGAGCAGTGTGTTGATGAGTTTGTAAACAAACAAAAAGCAAAAACATAAGTAGAGAAAATGCACGCATAGAGAAATCTTGCATATCTTCGGGCTCAGATAAGGAAAATATTGTGTTTGTTGTTTTTGGGCTTATATTTTACTTTCAGCTACACTGCCATCAAATGGAAGCGCTTTCATCGATGGATAAATAAAAGTATGGTGAGCGTTCCCAAATATTTATCTGATATAGACACACTATAATCCCTGTTCACCCGTATGATATACCCGTTGGCAGCATGAAATAATAAAAATACAAAATAGCTTTATTTAAGTATTGAATATTGAATGAAAAGGAATTATCATGCATGCACTTAAGAAAATCATTTGAACGAAACACATTTAAATAATTAAGACATATACTATCTGCCTCTCCTCCGTTTTAAATCGACAGTTAAATTGAGCATAAATATTGATGAATGAAATTGAAAAAAAAAAAACTGTCATCTATGCTGTTATGAATTATCATTATAATATTTTATTTTTAGCTAATATATTACTAGTAATACTGTACATATTTAGTAATTAAAATTTTAAAGCTTGGTTTTAGATGCTAATATATAATATGAAACTAGAATTATCGGAAGAACACAGCTGAATTAGAGAAAAAGGAATATGAATGTAGGGAATTTAATATATTTCGTTTCGTATGTTAATAAACTAATTATTATGATTGAGTAAGCAATACTTTTAACTCCATGCTGATCGGGAGGTCGTCGTGAAAGCTCTTGGAATCAAGGGGTCAATTATAAATATTTACGGGATGATATTGACCATGGCAGGGTGGGCATGAAACACCTCAATAACATCTGCAGGTGCGAAAGCTATTCGCTGAAAGGATTCTTCTTTCTATACTTCTGTCTGTCTGTCGCCTATGCTTATTCCTCTTTCCGGTTAGTTAATTTTCTTGATTTAGCACGCAATTTTTAGTTATTAAAGATTACCCAAGAGCCCTAATGACTGTAGCACATATGAACACCACGACACTTGCTGACGAGACAGAGCCGGATATATTTGCGTGCAGGCTAACAGTCGGGAATACCACCAGCTCTACGTTATTCGTTACAGGAATAATTATAATAATATCTTAATAATTATGGCGCCCAACGTGTGAGGCCAAACTGTATAGCGTAACTATTCGAAGAACCGAAAGGGAATTCTTAATGATTCTTCCAAGGTGTGAGACCGACTTAAGGGTTAGGTCACGGAAAAATTCTAAACAAAATCACCAACATTTCCTAACGTATTAGTTCCACTGTACAATTTGACTCGCTAATAAGCATAAATATCCTTTTCTATTTTCTCAAAATTTTCAATTCTAACTTTTGATATTCTTTAGTCAGCCCTCTGTACATTCAGACGAATAGGAATGCAGCGCTTGTATATATTTTAGAATAGTAGGCGTCTGACCACGGATGAAGAGTGAGAGCAAGCTGACTCCTAAACCTATTAAAAGTTCATTCACTGAAAGTTAAGCGGGTAGGAATTTCAAAATTGATAAATTCTAAAATGAATGTCAATGAACCAAGTCTAACAGTTTAATGATTGCTACCTAGTTGAAGCACCAGTTTTCTGTATTGGAATGCAGATGGTTACTTCAAGAAGTAGCTCTGGCCACAGATTCGAAGTAAACTAGCGTAGGTCAGTCGTCCGCTTACGAATCCAGATTACTTTATGGAAAACACAAAAAAAAGTAAGTCTGGCCACGGATTTAAAAAATAAATAAATAAATAAATAGATGAAATAAAACAAGAAAGAAAGCTAACTTCGGCACGCCGAAGTTTATATACCCTTGCAGATAGAACTTCTATGAATAGGAATCCATACAATATAAATTATATATATTTGTGTTAAAAAACAATGAATAATAATACCTGCTTTCATTTCATTCACCTATACATATTATATTTGCAGTTTTACATTCACAGATTTGCATTTTTCCTCTACATCAAACGATCGTTTGTATGGCACCTATAAGATATAGTCGTTCGATTTTCATAAAATTTGATAAAAAATTTAAGACTAATATAAAATAGCTATACCTTAAATTTGATGAAAATCAGCTGAAAACTAAAAAAGTTATAAATTTAATTATATTAATTTCTCGATCGTTCCTATGGGAGCTATATGATATATTGGTCCGATTTTCATAAAATTTTACACAAAATTGTAGAGTATAGTAAAATGGCTATATCTTAAATTTGATCCAATTCTATTGAAAACTGAAAAAGTTAAAAAATTTTTGTAAAAATTTTACGATCATTCCTATGGCAGCTATATGATATAGTCGTCCGATCCGGCCCGTTCCGACATATATACGAGTGAGAGTATATAGAAGGCTAACTACAAAGTTTCATTCAGATAGCTTCAAAACTGAGAGACTAGTTTGCGTAGAAACGGACAGACGGACAGACGGACAGACGGACAGACGGACAGAAGGACAGACGGACAGACGGACAGACGGACAGACGGACATGGCTAGATCGACTCGGCTGTTGATCCTGATCAAGAATATATATACTTTATATAGTCGGAGGTGCCTCCTTCACTGCGTTGCAAACTTCTGACTGAAATTATAATACCCTGCAAGGGTATAAAAAAGTGGATCAGTTGAAGTGCAATGGGTTTTGGAATGCAATCTGGAAGTAAAGTTTTCATACTTCGGATTGACCGCCTTTTGGCTTCCGGTTCACTCAGTAGGCTTGCCTGAACACAATTTTCCTTTCATTTCTTTTGTCTTTCAAAAAATCTTTTAAGCGATAAGTTTCAACAAGAGCTTGATAGATGAGCTCTCGATCAGTAATGGAGTGTATGATTTAGAAGTACATCTATCTTTTATAATACAAGCTATTTGCTTGTGATTTTATCTTTTTCGATTCTATAGTATTTATTTTTAGCATTTTGGTTTCTTTAAAATGGGGTTAGATCATTCAGATGGTGAAGAGGCTTCTGGGTCATCCCAGGTCTGTATATTATGCAAGACACATATTTCTGAAAGCGATTTGTATAAAAAAAAATGCGTTCACAGTTTCCACAAAAAGTGCATGAAAAATCACTTGACAAGTAAGAAGAGCTGTCCCACCTGCAAAGCGGTTTGTCCTGGGGAACCTTTAATTAGAACTGATAGTAGTGTCTCACGAAATACAAGACACCAAAACAGGCTCGTGAATTTGCAATACGAAGACAACAGTCAGGTTAATATGGGTGCGGAAGATTCAAGTCAAGCTCGATTGAGTGGGCGTGAAGACGTTCACAGTATCGTGACTGAGGCTGTTAGAGGTATGCAAAATGAGCTGCTGACACAATTGTCTGAAAAGATGACCATATTAATCGAAGCTAATTTGGCAAGCAGACCTTCACAAGGACCATTTCGTAGAGCTGCCAATGCCAGCCCCTCTATGGATCAGCTTCTTGGCTTAGAGACAGGACAGCCAACTTCAATGCGAGATACTGGGCATGTGAACTTGTCACCGGGATCAAATTTATCAGAACTTTCACAGAGACCAGACAAAGTTTCGCATATTATGAATGGTTGGAAACTCCGTTTTAGTGGATCTGCTGGGGGAATCAGCATAGATAATTTTATCTACAGGGTGCAGGCGTTAACTCACCAAACCTAAGGTGGAAACTTTGGTATCTTGTGTGGCAACGCAAGTGCTTTGTTTGAGGGCAAAGCAGACGACTTCTATTGGCGATATCACAAGTCGGTGCAAGTTGTTCGATGGGACGAGTTATGTTTTGCACTTCGTCGCCAGTTCAGGGATACAAGAACCGATGTGGACATTCGCGAGCTTATAAGAGATCGCAAACAAAAGAAAACGAAAACTTTGACTCGTTTTATGATGCAGTTGTCCAGCTGACTGATAGTTTGGATTGTCCGTTGGGTGAAAAGGCATTAGTAAAAATTTTACGTCGAAATTTACGCCCGGAAATAAGACACGAAATCTTAAATATTCAGACGGATTCGATTTCCCGACTTCGCGAGATTTGTAGGCGTCGAGAGTGCTTCTTGGAGAAAGTGAAGCGAGACCAAATTTACAAAAAAGGCTCTCCGTTTAAAAGCCATGTCTCCGAGCTTCTCGACGGGGATAATAAGTACAGCGTTCCTGAATTTTTCGTCGATGAGGAAGGTACTGTTGAAGCCGTGTCGCTGGAATTGCAGAAAGGAAGGACATAGGTACCAAGACTGCACGGCTCCCCGAAAGGTATTTTGTTATGGGTGCGGGGCACGCAACACTTATAAACCTTCATGCCAAAGATGTTTAAAAAACATCCAGCAGAACACCCAAGTTCCTCGCTCTCGGGGTGTTCAAAAGACGCAGTCCACGTCCACCGAAAACGAGATACAATAGATTCTGTTACGCACAGGCATCACCAGGCTCCCGTTCTTCCTGAGGTTACTCCTGAAGAGGGTTGGCGCCAGAGAGTTGGTCTGACAAATAATAGCAGTAAGAAGGCAAGTTATTCTAACTCTAGAACTAACGAAAAATCGCGAAATACAACTAGGCTGAAAAGGTTCTGGAAAGTTACAAGAGACCTAAATGCGCTTCGCAACAGTTGTAAGGATCGTCGACCATATACAACGGTGGTAATTCTGAACAGGAGAATTAAAGGTCTTATGGATACAGGCGCATCAATGAGCTGCTTA